AAAAAAACCCGCCAACCCTGTTCCTTGGTTTTGCATACAATTAAGCTATTCTTGAAATCTAGGCTGCCCTCATTCTCGTGGAGATTATCTGCCACCTGTTAGATAACTATCCTCCGCTACTGGGGGGGGGGGGTCTCATCAGCCAAGAGCAATTTCAAGTGACTTTTTTTATTTTAAAGATTAAATGCCTTTTTTTTTTGGTCCCATTTGCCTGTACCAGCTGACAGCACGGTAAAGAACAGACTTGATGCAATGCATCTTCAACCTAGATCCTTAAACTACTTAGGCACTCAGCTCCTCTTTGGTTACAAGGGAACTGGTGGCCAAGGATGCTCAGGTCCACGAGCAAGGGACTGGAGAGCTGCAGCCCTCAGCAGCGCGAGTCAGTGCTTTGAAACAGCGGCGCGTTTACAAACCTTATAATACCTTACAACAACATTTTTCCCCTGAGGACTGTACGCAGTGTCCTGATTCACCACCAAAGTGGCTCTGTTCTCCATTTCACAGCGGTTCTTCCTGGGGCCAGAGCCGGAGACCTGAGCCCTCCCCGGCCGCACGTGTGAGCTCACCAGCCCACATACTGTCGTCGCCCGTTCTCCGAGTTACACCCACACAGTTCGATCGGCTCCCTCCGCTTTCCTGAGTGTCAGCTCTTAGCTTTCCGCTCCTTTTAAACTGACTTCAGACAAACTCCAGTTGGATCAAGTCCGGCAGCTTTGCTACTGCAGGTTTCCCTGGATGTGTAGTTTTGCTTTGGAGAGGCTCACTAGCACCTGCCCACGTAGCCCTTAGCAAAGGCCCTCCCATTGTCCACACCTATTTCTATCTTATGCTCTTGGGAAAAAAATAATAATAATAATAATAAAATTCCTTTTATTAACAGGCAGGTACAGCCAGATGCTGACATTTCGCTTGTTAAGCACCAAGGCACTACTACAGTCAGAGCTACAGCCAAGAAAACTGCGCGGCTGGAGCTCTGCGCAGCAAAGGCATGAGACCGTTCAGACTAGCGGCGCCCGCTACCTCCGTGCCTGGGCCCCGGGC